ATTCTAAAATGAAAAGGAAACATGTTGAAGAAAGAAACTGAATATATGAATACATAAAGAAAATTATTCTTCAAAGATATGTGCAGTTATTATTTTGTAAATTACCCAATGTTATGATTTCAACCTTTACTATAATTTTCCATTTCTTGTTTCCTCATATGGTAGGGTTACTGAGCCAGATTAAATTGAATTGTATAATCTTTGACCACTAGTCCACATTTTTAGTTTGAATTTGACTGTTCTTGCTTAATTACGTCACCATGATTGACTTTGTTAGCATCACAACATGCCTTTGTTTACTCTAAGTTCTTTTTAAATAAGAGGCTTATTTAAACCTTTGTCTGATATTGTAGTTACTTTCGGACATAGTGATAATTTGCTTCACATCTATCGGGGGTTTTGGACTATTTAACTTTTACCAGATCAAGTAAAACCTCATACGGTACATTGTGGAGTGGTTTGACAGGTTAGGAGATAAAGCATGCAGAAACTAGTGACAGTATTTGGTTTGCATATTGAGGCAATTCTCTAATTATTGTTAGAAAAGATGCTTAAAGAGAAGGCAATCAATATAAACTAGCCAAAATGTTTGAGAAGGCTTCAAATTAAAATGACGGATAAATATTTTGTTGAGTGTTGTTGTTACAAACATACATGTTTTGTAGCTTTTAATGTGTAATTTTTCTAATATTATTTAAGAATCAGTGTCATAAATTACATGTATTTTAAACTGTGAAATTTTATTAGATTTTGATTTTAATAGGGCTTTTTTAACAAATATTGTTGGAAAAAAAATTTAATAGTGGCCATGTAAATCCATAATGATTAAGGTTACCTATTTACCTAATTTAATTATTTATAACTAACTGCTTGCCCTTAAAAATTATCTCCATGTATTAAAGCGAGTTATTGCCTTTCATTAATACTCACTGTGGTCGCAAGATAAAACACAAAAATGTAGACATTCAAGTAAAACTTATTCTTTGCATCTGGTGAGACTGAAAATAATACAACTTATCAACTTTGGTGCTTGAATGGCTTATTGGAACTGAAAGTATATTAACTGGGTTACAACCCGTGAAATTCTGCACAAAGCTATGACACTAACTGCATCAAACAGAGCTTGACTAACTTTCAACACTTGCTAACCGTGCCTACATCAGGCCTTTCAAGTTTGTTCTAATCAGCAGGTCTCTCTCTAGACAAGCAGCAGCAGTGATAATATTCAGTCTTTTGTTATGAATCATGCTGATTATGATCTTACTTCTCATTTTAACCTATGCCATTTGACATAAAATCTACCTGTTATTAAACCTCTAGACCAGCAGTTCTCAACCTTTTGACTAACGCATACCATCTAAACAAAAATTGAAACCCTTTAGTACCATTACTACAAAGTACTACCACCACCAATCTTGAACAAAGCGCAGATCACATAAATTTACGAGCGTTAAGAGAAAAAACTCAATCAGGATGTTGGGATTTATTTTAATTAATTATTAACTTTTGAAAAATAGTTTTAAAAATACTTTGCTTCTTTGTGTACCACCTATTTTTTTCTTGCATACCACCAGTGGTACACGTACCACCGGTTGAGGAACCTCTGCTCTAGACTGATCAAGTATGTGACAAAATGAGACATAAAAAAAATCAACATAAAGCTAACTATTAGTAAAACGTAAATGTCACTTATCTTCTTTCAAATATGTCCAACCTATTATAAGTGTGAAATATTAATGCTACTTGATAAACTGCATGATTTATTCTCAAACTTATTATAATTATGTAATTAATCATGTTTAGTAATAATGCATACTACTTAGGGATCTATTTTATTTTTAGGATGGTATTACAAAAGTGAAATTCAGGCATAGAATAATATTTTAATAGAATTTATTCAGTTCCATTGCTCATAGGTCCTTAATTTTTTTTAATCCTAAAAGTCCTTAAAAGTACTTAATTTCCGTGTGCAGAAATGTGTACGAACCCTGGAAGGGTGAGTTGCTATATTTGGCGAGAAATCGCCTGTTTGGTGATAAAATTGGCAATATGCCATAAATGGATGGAGAACCTTCTGGAACGAATTCTTATTGGTTTAACCCAGAGTGTTCTCAAACACAAACCAAAAACTATATAAACCCTGCTGGTATGAGGAGAGTAAGTGCGAGATGCAAGATAGTTAGTCTCGCGTTAGTCAGTCCGTGCGGAGTCGATCGAGTTGACAGCCGGGCAGCGAGTGCCGAGTGGGTTGTCGAATGCATCGAAAGAGTCTCTTAGTGTATTGCGGTTAGTGCATCGTCGAGAGAGTGTGTTGAGTTCCAGGAACGACTGAACCGAAGAGACGGGAGGTATGCTCTGTGTGTCGTCGAGTGCATCTCGAGTTGTAGCGTGGAGAGTCTCGAAAGTACATGGAGCCGAGAACGACCAAGCAGAGTCGGGAGCTGTATTCTGATGCTTTGCAGTGAAGCTATCTCCACCGTTATAGCCTGATAACCTGAAGGTTGTGTTGCTGATTGTTCCAATGAGTGTATAGTAGATCTTTGACGACTGTAAAACATGACTTTGGAGCCTTGATTAATATTGGCTAAATAAAGTGTGTTTCGATACTTCATCAAGTGTCGTTATTATTCACTCCAAATCGCACGAACCTCTTAAACGTAACAATACTAATGGAGTAAACAAGATCTAAAATGTGTTGGTGAAAGGTCAACTTTGCTAACACAGTGGATACTTTTTAAAATTACTACTTTTGTTGTAAATTCTGTGATGAATAAATTCTAAAATTTCTTAAATGAATTTAATTTCATAACTTTATTTTTTCTTTCTTTCTCCCTCCTTTTTTCATGTGCATAATAGAATACAGAAATTTTGATTAAGAATGAACAGACGGAAATTGTGAAGAGCTTCATAGAAGCTTACTTTACATCGTGTCAAATATTTAGCATCCACCTCATGAGTTTGCTGTAAATGACTTCAGTGCTACGCAGTTGTTAAAGTGGGATTGCTTGTCTTTTCTAACTTTGTATTGTGACTTTATTGTAACTTGTAAAACAACTGTATATAGTAGTATGCTTGGAAAACATGATTATAGGCATTCTTTGCTATGAAATATTTTTTTTTCTAAAAAAGGATTATGGTTGTCAAATTATAGTTTTGTAAGCGTGAAATCTTTCTTTATGTGGAGTCCTATAAAAGTAGGATTGGTAGGACATTTTCTTCCACTATCCTTGAATAAACTGAAGAAAACGAATAATGATGTATGAAGACGTCTGCTAAAAGGAATAAATATAATAAAAACTTATATGAAAAGAAATGTTTTATAATTTCTGCAAATAAGGCTCCTCCTCCCCCAAAAAAATTGAATGAAAAAATGTGCAAAATTTTTATTCATATTTTGATTGTGATATGTCACAGATTTCTTTTCTTTTTTAAAGATATTTTTAAATGAACCAACTTTTTTTTGTTTTAAATTTGTATATATTGTAATGTTTGATCACTTGTGATGGATGAAGGAAAAAGAGCAGTTGTCTTTTAAATATTTATTTTTAAACTAACAAGATTTCATGAATTATAAAAAGTAAATAATCAAAGCAGTGCAGCCATAATACAAAAACCGACGTCGCTGGCACGACTTCACTCAAGTCTCTCTCAGCATAAAAACCACACACAAAAGCCCCTTTCTTTCCTTTTAAGTTAAGCATCTTTGGGAACGCTTCAGAGGGTGTCTTTTATGACATCCTTTTTGTTGAACACTTTGGCCATTTAGCGGCATATGACAGTTTTGCCCGGAAACTGCCCAGAGGATTTCCTTAACTCGTTTCCGTAGATAGTTTCTCTATATAAATTAGTCTCTGGACATACAGGAAATTCCTTAATTAAGCAAGTGCATATCAGAGGTGTGAATATTGTTACAATATATAATAGCTTTCAGAAATATTTAAGACTTTTAAAAATGTTCCAGTTTAATAATATGTAGAATGCAGGTTCGCGTGAAGTCCAGTAAATCTAAGCTGATAAAAAAAAAAAGCTGCTCCAATAGTGATATTGTGTATGAACGTAATTATTACAAACAAGAATACTTGAATCTTCCAAAATTTCAGATGGTGGGAACTTTTCCTAAAACGATATAATACAATATAAATGATTTCAGTTAAGCTATTTCTGATATTGAGGAGAAGAATCCGGTTAAACTAATCTGATTAAATAGCAGTAAGATCTATTACTATGGCTCTTACATTAAGGATAGTATACATAGTAGATAAGAATGCTTCTGATAGTGACTAATCTCTGACTCTTGTTTCATGAGAAGGAAGAATTTTCATATATGGTTAGTGGATTATGGTAGTTGTAGTATTTTGTTTGAAAGGTTGTATTGAATATCCTCATAGCAAAAAGGTTCAGAAAAGAAATTTTTTTTTTTTTTTTTTTGATAGCAACTCAGAAAAAACACAGAAACCATGAAAGAAGAATATAACAAATGAGGTCAGGGACATTAATGATTCAGCAATAAGAGGCCCACCAGCGGCTGAGCGGTAAAGTCGCTGAACACTGGTAGTTTGGTCCGAGGTTCGAATCCCGTGAATGGTCTGGCTGCATGGGCATTTTTGTGGTTTTCCCCATGTGTAACATGTATACGAGACAGTTTCCCTTAGAAAGTCCTCCACAAAGACATCCCTCTCCTTAGGCAGATAGCCCTCGAGGCTTTGCCATAATCACACACACACGATACAGCAATAAGTTTAGTTTTGGAAACCGTGCAATGCTTGTCAGTATATGCCTTGCTGATGCTCAAGATTATTTTCAGTATGTAATGTGATTTATCATTAAGAAGCTCTAGATAATTCCTGTCTCTTTATTTCTGATATATGCTATAAATATCATATTCATTTCTACATAAGTCACCTTTTGGAAGTAATAATTATAATTTTTTAAATGTGTTTACTGTAGTATTTCATTCTTAACAACACTTAACCTCTCTCATTTTTCTTTTTTTGTTCCAGATGACGTGTGGCCCTTAATTTCAAAGTTAGTGGACTTGGATCCTCTGCAACAATTCCTTCCAAGCTGAGGTAAGTGTTTTCTAATATTTGTGTTTTTTTCTGGTGAAATTTTAGAGTATGAACACAGTTATATTTTAATCCTTAAAGTACTGTGCCATCAATAATACCTCTTAAAAAAGGATTTCCTGGTAATCCATGAAAAATGCAACCTGAAGAAGGACATAAAAGCCAAAGTTATTTCAGAGATTAATTGTATCAATTCAGAGATTCAATATTAATCAATACAGCCTTCTTTGAGGTGAGGAAGCCAAGAACATCCATTGGTGTAGCTAGGGGGGGCAAGGGGGCACAGCATCCAGGCTGTGCCAAATTGATGCTACGAAATTTCTTAATGAAATGTTTTCCATTGGTGGCACACAGAAAGGGCCACAAATTTTTTAGTTGTCCCCGGATGCTGGAATTCTAGCTATGCCACTGAGAACATCAGTAATGAGTATTGCTTCCATGTTTGTCAATAACTGCTGCTACATGCTGTAGCATTGAGTGAAAGAGTCTTTGGATGTATTATTGGGGAATGGCCAGCCTGTTCTGCCTCCACACATAGCGAGAGTTTATGTGGTATATCCAGGGTGTGCCATACTGAGCTAGACATTCTTCAGTCATTGACCAGACATATTCATTGGGTGATAGATCTGTAGAACGGGCAGATCAAAGTAACATTGCTGTATTGTGGGCTAAAAAGAAAGCTTGAACATTGCATGCTACATATGATCACACATCGTTCTGCTGAAATGTGGCTGCAGGCAAGCCCTGAAAGTAAGAATGGAAAACCCTGAAGATAAGCAGCCTTTCTTCATGATGTCTCTAGATGCTGACCATTGTGGTACTGCAGGCTACGTAATTCATCCAAAAACAGAACTGCTTGCCGTCTGGATGTCCATCTCTGCCATTTGATGCAGTATTGTAAATGCAGACCTCTATGATTTAAAGGTAAACAAATGGGCACTTAGCAAACAGTTCGTTGTCCACACAGTGACAAATTGTTTGTGAAGTCACTAATTGTTATGTTACAGATTACATTTGTTGGTTACGGATGTGGCAGTGTGCTCCATCAGTGCCATGCACTGAATATGTGCATCTTCCCAGGGACAATTGTTCCTGTCTGTTATCCACCGAACTCATGTTGGTGGTCCACCGAATCCATGTCCAGCCCACTGAATCCACATTGCATGATTGTTGCTTGACCGTGTCCGGCATGATGACCGATTTCTCAGAAGGATAAGTCACACTTTGTGTTTGCAATGGTTCTGCCTTGTTCAAACTTGGAAACATGCTTGTATGATGCCTATGTTTTTCTACGAGGAATACTGAAGCTGCATGCACAAAAAATCTCATGAGAGAGCAGTTCACATTGTTTAAAATAGCAGTCTTTCCTCCTTTTATATAGGGATTTTAAGTGCACCGTTGTTGCCCATGATGTGCATTTGTACTAAAATCATAATCATTTTAATATTCCATCCCAGGTATACTCATGATGCAAGTTTCATGCTGTTTGGATGTTTCCTTCATGGTGTTGCATTTCGAATGGCCAGCAGTTTTGTTTCTTAGCCTGGCTAATAACTGTATATAAATCTGTATTTTAATAGATATTGTGCTTAATTTAAATGAATAAATATGCAATTAAATATATGCATTAACAACTTTAAAATATGTATGGGACTAAGTAGAAGTTCAGTTCTCTGTTCATCTCGAAGCATCAATCAGATGTATAAAAGCTAATTCTTTCTCACATGATTATACCTTGAGTTGAATAGCTGTAGCCAATCAAAAATTATTTTAGAGGTGATATTTTCTGGATGGCCTGAGACAGTTGAGTTGACCAGCTTCATTTTTCTTCAGTTCTGTATCAGTTTCAGATATCTCGCTTCAAATGTTCTGATTTTATCTATTTAGTTGGTAAATGAATATGCTTTCAAAATTCTCAAGGAAAATATGGAATAATCTTAATAAAAAAAATTCGAAGGATAGTTAAAAGTGAACAGGCTAATACAATAATTAAACAAATTATTTAAAAGGAAATTTACAAGTTTTCTAAGGGTAATCAAATATAATTATCAACCATAAATGAGATACACATGTTAATTTTTTCAGAAAATTTAAAGCAATAGATTGTTGTGAGAAAATTAAGATAACTTTTTAAATCCTAAATTTTGAATTTTACCTGAAATTTGCATCAACTTTAATATTGCTTTTTTTTATTTTTTTTATTTAGGTTTAAAAATTACGTGAGGTCTTAGTTTTAAGCAACTGGTTACCTGTAAGGCATTTATGAAAAAAATATAAGAAAAGCTATTATTTATATACAGGGAAGTTTGCATAGATAAATATATATTAATATTATTTTATATATTGATATTTAAATTATATATACTGATATTTAGTTTTATATTATACTGATATTTAAATTGAGACAAAATTCTGCATAGATAGATTGATGCTAATTTTATGGAATACTTTTATACATTTTAATGGCTCCATATCTATTTTCCTCAAAATAAATGACCATTTTTCATTCAAATTTTGTAAGAATCAAACCAAAAGTTAAACCTTCATGGTAATTTTTCATTAGTTTAAAGAGAAGAAATATCTTTAGTTGATGAAATGAATTTTGTGCAGGCTTTTTACATCTATAAAAATCTTTTTTTCATTAGTTAATAATCTGGATGCCCACTTACCAATAACCTTTAATGAACTCCTTATCTCTCAGCTGCTGTCATTCCACTTCCATAGATGGTGTTTGTTATATATGTAACTGTAACTGTATCTATTATTATGTTTAACCATAACTGTAATATAGAATAGTAGATGAGTAATGTAGAATAAACGATGTTTGTGTACAACTTGTAATCATAACTGAGCAGTACCCAACACATATAAAATACAACACATGGCGCAGCCCGTCGTTGATTAAAAAAGAAAATCTTTTTTCAAGAACCATGCAGCCTCGGTAAAGATGTTCTAAACAAAAACATCATGGGAAGTTGTTTACTGTGAAATCGAAACTTATATCGCTGGTAAGTGAGTTGTTTATTTTTATTGGAAGTGGCTAAAAATACGTATATATAAACTATTTAATGTCCTAAATTAAATATGGATGGATTAAAGCCACCAAGTAATCTAAGTTTCGAAGGAAATTTAAGCGAAAATTGGAAGAAATGGAAACAAAAAATTCCAAATTTATATGTTAGCGTCTGGTGGTATTACTAATCACCTGAAATTAAAGTAGCTATTTATTGCATATAATTGGTGAAGAAGCACTTGAAAAATTTAATACTTTTAATTTAAGTGAAGAAGATAAGAAGGATGTTGACAAAGTAACTGAAGCTTTCGAAAATTTTTGCATACCGAAAGCAAACGAAAGTGTTGATAGACATATATTTTTCTGTCGAACACAACATGTAGGTGAATCGTTTGATGATTTCTTAACCGATTTAAAGAAATTAAGTAGCAACTGTGGATTTGCAGAATTAAAAGATAGTTTAATAAGGGATAGAATAGTAAGTGGAATTCTAAATAAAAATCTCAAAGACAGATTATTAAGGGAAGATCAGTTAACATTGGAAAAATGTATTAAAATGTGTAAAGCTTCTGAATTAGCAGAACTTCAGCTGAAAACTTTAACTGAAGAAAATAAAATAGAAGCTATCAAACGTAATAAATTTCGACCTTCAGAAGAAAAAAGTCAGCCTTGTAAGAAAGACTATCATGTAAACAACAAGTACTAAATCTTCTTCAAACTATCAAGGAAATAAGTACAATAATCCAAAACCATGTAGAAAATGTGGAACTTTTCATAAGTTATACAACTGTCCTGCTTATAATAAGATTTGCTTGTACTGTAAAAAGAAAAATCACTTTTCTAAAATGTGCACTTTTAAAAATGTTAATGTTGTACAGAATAATTTAGAGCATGAGTTACATAATAATGGTAATGAATATATTTAGGGTCAGTAGAAGATATAAATCCATTTTCTAAAAATAAAACCGAATGGTTTGAAAAACTAAAAGTAAACATATCTAAATATTATTGTTTTTTAAGTTGGATACTGGAGCTCAGTGTAATGTGCTACCATTGCCTAAATTTAAACAATTAAATTTAAGAGAGAAATGTTTGACTAAATCAAAAGTCACTTTAAATAATTACAATGGTACTACAATTGATGTAGTTGGAAAATGTAAATTATTATGTGAAACATCAAAAAGGGAACAAGGATGAAATAGAATTTCAAGTCGTAGCATGTGATAAAAATGTTCCAGCTATTTTAGGGTTACCTACATTGCAAAAATTAAACCTAATACAAAGGATTTGTACAGTAAATCCTGATTCTAACGAAATGTTACCAGAACTTTTAAAAGGATATCAAGATTTGTTTAAAGGAACTGGGAATTTAACTGGATATACATATCATATTAAATTAAAACCAGGAGCTGTTGGTAAAATAGAACCCTGTAGGAAAATTCCACTTAGTTTATTAAATCCATTAAAAAAGGAATTAGCAAGAATGGAAAAAGATGGTATTATAAAGAAAGTTAACCAACCAACAGAATTCGTGAATTCATTAGTGGTAGTAAGGAAAAAAGGATGGAAATTTAAGAGTGTGTTTAGATCCTCAGCACCTTAACCAAAATATACTGAGAGAACATTATCACATACCAACCTTTGAAGAAATTTCATCTCAAATGACAAATGCAAAGGTCTTTAGTATTTTAGATGCAAACAAAGCATTTTGGCAAATTAAACTGTCAGATTCAAGTTGTGAATTTACTACATTTAACACTCCGTTTGGTAGATATTGTTTTTTAAGGTTGCCATATGGACTGAGTTCATCACCAGAAGTTTTCCACAGAAGTTGTTTTGAAATTTTTAGTGATTTAGAAGGAGTTCAAATATATATAGATGACTTATTAGTTTGGGGTAAAGATAAAAAAAGAACATGATTCAAGATTAAAGAAGTTGTTGGACAGAGCCAGAGAAAAAGAATGTTAAATTTAATTTAAATAAATGTAAATTTGGGCTGAATGAAGTGAAATATATGGGACATATATTTTCTAAAGATGGTTTAAAAAACCAGATGAAGACAAAAATTAAGGCTATTCTAGATATAAAACCACCAAAAAATGTGAAAGAATTAGAAACTTTCCTAGGAATGATTACATATGTTTCTAGATTTATACCTAATGTATCAGAATTGACATCATGTTTAAGAGATTTGTTGAAAAAACAAGTTATCTGGAACTGGAATGCAACACATGAAAAAGCATTTAGAAGACTAAAAGATGTCTTGGTAAATAAACCAGTTTTACAGTATTATAATATAAACATGCCAGTAGTTTTATCTGTAGATGCATCTCAAGAAGGACTAGGAGCAGTCTTACTGCAGAATAATTTACCAGTGGCATATGCATCTAAGGCATTAACAGATACACAGAAGAATTATGCTCAAATTGAAAAGGAAACTTTAGCTATTGTATTTGCGTGTGAGAAATTTCACCAGTATATATTTGGAAAAAATATTACTGTGGAAAGTGATCATAAACCACTGGAATCAATTTTTAAAAAGCCATTAAATAAATGCCCTGTAAGACTACAAAGAATGCGTATAAGATTACAGCCATATCAGTTTGAGATAAAAATAAACCAGGAAAAGAACTTTTTATAGCGGATGCATTATCAAGATCATTCACTGATAAAGGATCTGATTTCTTTGAAGGAGAAATAGAAGCTCATGTTGGATTAGTTGTAGAATGTATACCAATGTCTAATGGTAAAATGGAAGTTTTTCAACTGGAAACAGAAAAAGATGAAGAACTACAAGTTTTAAGAAAATTAATTAAAACTGGATGGCCAGATGAAAAATGTATGGTTCCAGAACTGGCAAAACCATATTTTAACTTCAGAGAAGAACTATCAGAAGCAAATGGATTAATATTTAAAAATTCCTGTGTTGTTGTACCAAGAAGTTTACGAAAAGATATGTTAAGCAGAATTCATTATGGTCATTTAGGAGTAGTAAAATGCAAGATCAAAGCAAGAGAAATATTATATTGGCCAGGAATGTCCAAAGAAATTGAAGATTTGGTACTGAATTGTCAGACATGTTTAAGTTTACAAAAAGCTAATACTAAAGAACCAATGATATCTAAAGAAATACCTAATGGTCCATGGGAAGTATTGGGAACAGACCTCTTTTACTTTCAAGGAAGGGATTATCTAATAGTTATAGATTATTTTAGCAAATATGTTGAAATTGGACATTTGGAAGATTTGTCAAGTGTAGCAGTGATAAAGCAATTGAAATCAATTTTTGCAAGACATGGTATTCCGAAAATAGTATATTCGGATAATGGTCCACAATATAATTGCAGGAAATATAAAGATTTTGCAAGAAGATGGAATTTTGAAACCAGAACTTCAAGTCCAAAATACCCACAGTCTAATGGAATGGTTGAAAGACATATTCAAACTGTCAAGCGAATGTTAGAAAAAGCTGTAGTTGACAACAAGGATCCATATTTAGTTTTACTGGAATATCGTAACTCTCCTATTTCAGATGAAATTAAGTCACCTTCAGAATTGATGTTTGGAAGAAAAGTAAATGGATTGATGCCTATAAAAGAGAATTTTGTCCAAGCTAAACGATATGAAGACCATAAAAACAAACATTTACTGAAGAGACAAATCTTACAAAAAAGTTATTATGATAGGAATGCAAGACCATTAAAACGACTGAAAACAGGAGATCATGTTTACATAAAAGAGAAAGGGAAAAAACTAAATGAAAGAGGGAAAATTATAGAAGAAGCAGAAAGACCACGTTCATATAGGATTATAAGAACAGATGGAAGAATTGTAGAAAGGAACAGAAGAGACCTTTTTAAAGGAACTAATCAGGAAGAGTTTGCAATACAAAACAACTATGAGAATGAAGTTATAGATGAGCCCGAGATACATGAAAATAATAGGAGCACTTCAAATTTAGATGTGCCTGTAAGTCCTTCAAAATCTAACAGAAGTGTTGTGTCACCAAATAGCAAAAGAGGGTATAGTATCATCAAAATTTTTCAAATGGACATAACTACGTCACTCGATCTGGTAGGACTGTTAAGAAACCTTATTATTTAAAAAGAATATGTTTAATTTTACTACTATTATTTTTTTTATAAAAAAGGGAGATGTTATATATGTAACTGTAACTGTATCTATTATTATGTTTAACCATAACTGTAATATAGAATAGTAGATGAGTAATGTAGAATAAACGATGTTTGTGTACAACTTGTAATCATAACTGAGCAGTACCCAACACATATAAAATACAACACAGTGTTAAGGTTACCTCACTCCCACCATTTGAATCAAATTTTCTTTATTCTCACATAAATATCAAATTTTCTAATTGTGTAAGTCAATTTTCAAAATAAAATTGCTTGAAATTTTATAAAGAAATATTGTATAACATGCAATTGCTTCAGTGAGTGTTAGACAAAAGTTACTTTGTAAAGTAAAACTTTGAACATTGACTTCTCATTAATACATGAATATGTAGTTACATAAATACTGATTTTTACTAATTACGACTAATTTTTATTTAACGATAAAAAGATATGTACATAAAATGGAAAATATGCTTCAATGAAAATTTTTATAAACTTCTCTTCTTTATTAACTTTTTCTTTCAGAAACTGCATGCTTTTTTTCAAATGTGATGTTTGATAATCCTATATATACTATATATATTATAGGAAAATATAATTTTTTAATTCTATTAAATATATTAAATGAATTAACAAGCACCTGAATATGTGCATTAACAACTTATGTCTATCACTCTTGAAACATCACTGTGGTGTATAAATAAGCTAATACATTCACGTAATCATACCTCAAAATGAAAAGCTGTGGTGAATCAGAAATGAGTGTTAAGGGGAGTATATAATCATGAAAAAAATTTTATAAGCAGTGTCCTTTCCCATAAAAACTCACTCTCTGAAGTTGAAACATGCTTAACTGCATTTAATTGTTATTGAAGAAAATTCATAAGTGGAATAAATTAGATATATAACCATAATATCACGGCCAGATGATAAATTTTTTTTTTTTGTCGATATTATGCTGGAAATTAGTACAGTCAAAAGTCGTTAATCCAGACTCGTCGGGACTGCGGCGATTCCGGATTATAGATCATCAGTTTAAATCTCGTAAGATGGCATGCAGAAATTCTAAAATTAAAAATAGGAAACCTTAATTTATGAAATAAAAAACAATTATAATCTAAAGGGTATCAAAATTTACAAAAAAAAAAAAGCTTAATATTTATTTGTTTACTTTATTAAACATTTCTTTTAATGTAAGTTGTTTTAAGTTGCTTCGTTTTATGTAATAATACTTTCTCTTTAATTCTATAAACAGACACAATTTCTTGTTCAGTTACAAAGTTCCGCTGTTCAAGTCCCGTTAATTGTTGTGCCGAGAATACCGACTAACTTGTCAATCAAAATTTTTTCGTTTTCACTAACCTCTCTGTCACATTCTTCATGTCTTTATCCATTTTTTGCAGCAATTCCACTTTTTGTTTGATGGACATCGAAACATACTTTCGTTTTGTACGATCCTTTGGGAGCTCCAGAATCGGAAATTCTATTTGACATAATCGAAAGTTCAAGTTTACTTTTATAAAATTGCTCTTACAGTCTGCAAAAAATAATAAGCCGGATACAATTCGAAGATTAAGGAACAACGCAATCATCAACATTAACTGAAATAGATAATTTTAGATTATACCGTCCATTATACATAAAACGCGCACGTGAAAACATATTCTGCGCTAGCGCACACGCAGATGAGCAGTGGTAAAAGGTCTTACGCGCACGCGTAAACGCCTATGCGCATGTGTCAACGTGGTGCATGCGCAGAAAGTTTTTAGCTTTGAAGTCCGGATTATGGGTGTCCGAATTAACGACTTTTGACTGTATTCTGCTTTTGGGTAAATGCTACAACTCAAAAATGATGGCATCAAATTGATAAGGCACCCTGCAAAAGTAAAACTTTTAATGTCATTCAAGTGCATCTTCTTGATTAAATTATTTGCATTTCCTTGAGGCCTTGCATCTCTCAAATATTGGTCTAACTCTTCTGCCTTTTTGTGAATGTAAAACAGAAAGTAAAGTAAATTTTGTTCTGTCAGAAAGTGGATCTATTGTAATTTTAAAATATAATTGTTGGTAGCCAAAATAACTACACAAAAATACTATGTGTGAAGATTAAGGCAGGAACAAGAAACACAAAGTATTTTTCACCTGAGTTTCTCATACAAAGAGCTATCTAGTGTGTTGCGAGTGTGAACGAAACTGAATTTTCATTTAGCATTTAAAATCCTATTCTGGCAAAACTGAGAAATGAGAAAAAATGAGAATTTAGGAACAACTGTTGGCAAGTATTTGGTAAGTACTTTTTTTAATTTTTGCACGACCCCCCCCCTTTTTTTTTTTTTTTTTATTTTTTTTTTTTTTATTTATTTATTTATTTTTTTTTTTTTTTTTGAGCTGGTAAAATGCAACTTAAAAATTTCGTATTGCAGTTTTTTTTTTTTTTTTTTTTTTTTAATTATTATATACACACATAGTTTAAGAAAGTATATGTATGATAAACTGCTGTTTCTTGATCAGTCCTTTTTAATCAATTATAGGTATCAGATGGAATGTGGAGACAAAGTTAACTCCAAACTGTCTGTATTTTCCTAAGGCCGGTAGGTTTATTTCACATTGTTAATTCTAATGTGTATAAGGAATTTAGTTTTAAGCATTTGCTGTAAGATGTTGCATAGAGAAAATCTGAATCTGTGAAAATTAAATAAAATAAATATTTCTTGGAATGAAAATTAAATGAAACTTTTATTTGAACATGAATGTTCTGCAGTTAGCTCAATTGCTGATCATTGCATGATAAACAACAGCATAATAGCCAAGATGTAAGCCAGGATACTGTAAAAATGTTATATTTTTCTTGAAGCATGGTGTAACTGAAGTTGTTTTCCTAACAGAATTATTTCCCCCCCCCACTTCTTTTAACCTTGACTGATACAAGTTGTTTGAATACACTGATACTAACAGTGTGCAGATACTAAAGTCACCTAAATATGGAACTTTTATTTTTTAGATACATGCTTATATGAGAAAAGTTACACAAATATAAGAAAAGATCGTCATGATTATAGCATAAGTTATACTAAGTCACACAAAAGAAATATGATCAAAATTTAATTATAAAATTGCTTTCTCTGAAAAGGGTAGCTAAGCAGTTTTGGTGTATTATGTATTGAATTAATTGTGTATTGTATTGAATGGCGCATGAATGTCTAAAACAGTGTTTGCAAAATCGGGGAAAAAAAAAAGTATTTAAGTGATATATAACGTAAAATATTGTTCATCTAGATGTAAACGTTCCCACAACATGTGCTTATTATTGTATATTTGTATGTGATTAAAGGTTTAAATTGATTAGTGTGTTTTCATTATTGATGTAGCTGCTCTGTATTTCTCCTTTTTCTTTTTTTCCAGTGATGCGGTGGTCGGATGCATGTGGCAGCTAGGGAAAGCCTTGCTTGCAGCATGCGCAAGCGCAGGGTGGTGGTTTTTTCCATTGCCTGCTGCCTTCCTGCCCTCTTTCTACTGTACCTGGCATCTTCCGACGAAGGTAGAATTTCATCATAAATCCTCTTTAGTAAGATTAGAAAAATATGTGTCAGGTAGTTACTGTATTGTATGAGTAGCAAGCATTTATTTAAAGCAAACACAAATGCTTCTACCGAAAGAAGTACTGGAAATAATGGATTGATCTTTGTTTCTGTAAACATTTAGATTGTTTACAAATTTGTTATATATGTTTAAAACAGAGCAAATAATAAAAATATTGTATTTCTTGGTGTATAAGAGACACCTTTTCTTTAGTAATTTTGTGTCTTAAAAACTGGATGTACCTTAAGCTTTGTTTATATGGTGAATTTAAAATCATTAGAGATTTAAGCTGAGCTTTCTTGCTGAACAACCAGACCTAGCTATGTCACAAAACTGGTGTAAGGATTTTGCCTAAAAGTTCTAATTTTTCATCTGTATACCAGCTTAGTATAAAAACCACCAATCGCAACGAAGCAGACATCGGTTGAAGATTTCACTCAGCCACATATTTGCCACACGTGCAACTTTCTCTTAACTGATTGCCTGCTGATTAAATCCTGTTAAACAGGTGTGAATGGGCTTAATAATTTTTATGTCTTAAATCACAAAGTTTATGACGACAAAATCGTTGTCTGAATGAAGCCTTATACAGCGGTGGCAGTGGCACCAGCAGAAACACCAATGGCGAGCAAAACCAAGGTTGGAAGATTGTCAATGAGGGCATGCATGTTAACACTTAGAATGCCACTCATCTGCTGGAAAAAAAAAAAAAAAAGTGTATTCACAACAGTTTATTCATTTCCCCGTTCATAATGAACGAAGAGGTGTGAAGATTTCAAAGGAAATCTTTTTTGGTTCCTAACAAAAGAGCTCCCCCAAGTGTGTACCAAGTCACCTTAAACATAATGATAAGGAACCATAAAAGAATTCTTTTAGTACAAAACTGTCTGCAACAAAAATAAACAAATACAAGGCATTTTGAAAACTAATACATTTAAGCCACTGAACTTTAGGGGGAGCTAATTAATGAGAAATCAGACAGTGAGGACAACTTGTGTGCTGAATAAACATTAATTTTAATAACTTTAGGTAATACCTTTTTCCTATTAAATTGTGATCCAGCTGGCTAATAAAAACCAGTCTGTTAACTAAATAATTCTTTATTTATTATTATTTCAGTTTTCATGTCCTAAAATCATGCTGCACCTTATGCAAGGGAAATATGGTAAATATGGCAGTTAACAAAGGAATTGCTTTTGAATTATGGAAATCATAAAAACTGAATAAGTGTTAAAATTTTACATTTGGATCATTTCATGAAAATTGTCGATACTAAGGAATTGGGAAAGGGGATCTGTTGAAACTAAAAAATATAGTAGAAATCCTATAAACAAGAGACTTCTTTTGTTTAAACCTGGTATGTGAAAAACTACAGAAAAATTTCATTTTATTGTTAAAATTACAAATAATATCTGTACATGTTAAATATGTTGAAAATAATAGCATATATATTGAAATTTATAGTTATTAAATTAATGTTAGCATCTGTTTGAGTGTTAAATTATACTGAATAACAAATTCTGACTTGTTTTATAAAATCACAGCAACATATTTCTATTCTAGAAATTGAACTTGTATGTATTAACCCCTTAACTGCCGCGGGCGTATATATAAGCCTTGCTCAGCCGATGCGTTAACTACCCCCCAGATGCGCAGCCGATGCGTTAACTTTGCGAATAATTTTAGGTGTAGCAGCGCAAAGCAAATGATAGCAGTTTGGAAGGACGTATATATACGCCTGGGGCAGTTAATGCATCGGCTGAGCAAGGCGTATATATACGCCCACGGCAGTTAAGGGGTTAAAATATTCTTCCTTGAGGTAAATACAATACAAAGTACTGGATCCAGACGTCCAATATCTGGAATGATCTAAAATCCGGACCTCAAAACCACCAACAATTTTTAGCCCAAAGGGGGCAATTTTCCCTGAAGGACTATTAATTTCGTTTTGGCATTTTGCATTGGTTCACTATAAATGTCGGTTCACTTTTCAAATTGTTCTCACCAAATATTATCGCCCTGTCTTATATTTAAAGAAATTAAATAATGAAGAATTTGCGTAAATGTATGTATGTTTCTCTAACTGTGATAAAACCACAGTACCTAAAGCTATCAAATTTTTAATAACATACGTTTCCACCCGAATATGGTAATCTGGAAGCCCAAATTTGGAATTTGAAATTTGTTTTATAACCGATTTCATGTTTTGTAACACTTTAACGAATGTTTGATTAACAAACTCAACAATTTCAAAGTGTTCTATTAACATTTGCATTTGCTTCTCATTGATCCTTAAGAGAAGCAATCTTTCAGCATCATTGAGAATGTTTGACCTTTGTGCAAAAAATATTGTGATACTCTTTGAAGAATCAATCTTCTTAATCTTATCCATATTTTTGAGCATAGTACAAATCGCTGATCTAGACTGATTAGATGTGTGTACTAAGTCAGCCGCAGTTGGACTTCATTCTCACTTCCCAATAATTTGGCATTTGATTTCTGTTGTTATTTTCCTTCTCTTACCCCTGTCTTCTTGGAGCATCTTCTTTGGGGACAAACATGTAAACAGGCTTAAAGTTTATAACAATAATAATGTGTCTGAATGCTAAGTTTTGTGAGCAACTGCAAGATGCTAGTAGAACGATCGCTAAATACAGACTGATTGCTGAGGTGCAGGTGGGATGCTGCATGTGATGCCATAATATCTCCACATTATTTGCTCTGTGTGATACTTCACTTATTAAGGGAGTCACTTTTTAACATTTTGTTATGCAAAACCCATATGGAATACAGTAGAAATCCAGAAATCCGCAAAGCTTGGGACCAAAGGTTGTGCGGTTTTTAGGATTTTGCGGATTTCGGGACAGAAAAGATAAATCATAATATTCAGACTCAAATGCAAAATAAATAAGGCATATTAGATACATTTAATTAAATTATTATATATACATTATTGCAATAATTTATTATATGTGTGAAATTATTATTACATGTATAAATTGATTATATTATTAATTGTATTATATGTACACAGCAAGCATCCAGGTTTGCCGATTTCGCCTCATGCAAAGATTTCTAGTTTTGGATTCTCATGTTAGAATCACTGTTGCTGTAAAATTTCAACAGGTTTTTTTTTATTTTTCCATATATCATACACAATCATGTCGCAATTCCGTATGATTCTGCTATAAACCGAGGAGTAGAACCTGCCTCCATCTTTTGCAGAATTTGCACTTTTTGCATTACCATCAATGCAACGTGTTTACGTTTTTCAATGTTACAAGGATTGAAATCATGAGTGCATTTCTTGTCTGTCATTATATTAAAAAAGACTGAAATTTAAAATATTTTTAATTTATCCACAAAATATTCGGATAAAAATAAGGCAGCACTAAATAATCTCGTGAAATAACAAAGCTCAGAAAATGCAACATGAATCGTGAACTTGAAAGAAGAGTTGAGTGAATCGTCTGCTTTTTTACCTCCATGCAGATTAGAGGGAAAAAAACTTTTATCATGATGTCAATAATTTGGTATTTCCGTTATGATTCATTATTATTCGGTAATTATGATGTCATTATCTGGTAAGTATTTTTTCTTCGATATTTCGTACTGAATGTTGCGGTTTCCGGAACCTATAAACTGAATGTTTATATTTTGAGAGGCAATGTGGATTTCAGGTCGGCGAATTTTCGGTATTTGACTGTACTCATGAATCAGTAGATCCACATGGAATCAGCAGATGTTCGTACTGAATTCCGAAATGCTTCTGAAGGCTTTAGCATAATAGAATTTTATTAAAGCTTTGAATTTTAAAATTTTTATGGCTGATAGAGCCATATATAAATGAATATTCATTCGTCTAATGATAGGTGTTGTTTATAGTGGTGTAAAACGTGACATCAAGTTTGGAGCGGTAGGAAGTGAACGTGTGGAGGGACAAATCTTGCTGCAATCTTAAAACAGTATCCGGTTATCCAGTGAACCGTCCAAAACCATCCAATGAATAGAAGAATGCATGGTCAAATTGTGTTTTGTATATAACCCAACTTTATTGTACAAGTGAAGTTTGGTGATGTTTTTGTAATTCACTATGCAGCCTCCAGATTTCAGTATAACAGGTTATGGTCATCTCATTATTTCAGACATACTTGCGTAGCCTATATCATGGCTGGCAACTTTTAAATGCAGATAATTCCTATTGAATATGATCATGCTTTTATTTGTACAACATGGTTCATTTGTACACTGTTGTGCATGGGTGTTGAAGAATTGGATGAGTTCTGATTTCAATTGTATAGAGCACCTGAGTAATGAATTTAAACATTTGTTACATTTAGGCCACTTCCCATATTGGTGACAGATCTGAAAAACTCTTCCTGTGCTAGAATGTTCATACAAGTGTAACATTCTATAGTGATCTTTTTGATAAAGCAGTAGCTGCTATTGTAATGAAAGATATCTCACACTGTACTAATTTCTTATATATTTGTTAACTACATGTTACAATACTAAAGATGTTAAAACATCTATATACTTTTGATCATGTAGTATTCTTGCAAAAAATCATGAAACTATGAGATTTGTAAAACTATCTGCAACACTAAAACTTGGTAATTTAAAGAGGATGATAGCATTTAAAATAATGTTTCTGTGTAATTATGATTTATGCAGCATGATTTATGTTGTCATTTATTAACGAAAATAATGGCTATGCATATAAAGTAATTGAAGTTGATGGTTATAATGTTTTGTAATTGTCTCAAAGCTGATATATATAAAGTGATTTTAGATATTAAATGAAGGAACAAATTTTATATCAAATTTGGTACATATATGGTATAAGATTAATTTGAAAAAGATATATTTATTAAACATGCAGTTTGTCTGCTCTATCTTTTCTTGTATGTAACCTATACTCTAAATATTTTATTTCTATCATACTTAGACTTGGGAGCCGACAACTTCTTGGGTTTCACTCGCAGGGAAGCAAAGCTTGCGGAGCGTGTCCGGGAAGTAGAAGAACAGAACCAGCTGCTTCGACGACAGTTGAGGTAAAATCTCTTCTGTCGGTATGGTAATTTTACTTAGTGTGATTATCATAAAATCATGTGAATCTTTTTTCTTGATGATATATTTCTGACTTTAAATGTAATTAATTTTGTATTATTAATCTTTTGATTAAAGTATCTTGCTTATGAAATGTCTTACAAATCACTGAGGAGCAAATAAAAATATTTTAATATGCAAAATATTAGAAATAATAATGTAAGTTTTTTGTGTGTGTATGGGGGAATCTGAGCTCAAATTTGTTTTAATGAACCAATTTTATGTATTTGATTATATGCTTGTAATAAATACTTGCAAAAATATTTAGTTGTCTTTCAGAATCTGATGTTTTTAATGCCATAGAGTGTAATTGATACATGTGCTTATTTTACAAAACCATAGAATGTGCAGCAATGCTGTTCCTTTCTTTAGAATGTTTTTTTTTTTTTTTTTTTTCCCTCCTCCCAAAAAAACACTTATTTCAAATCTGTTTTTTTAATATGAACAAAGTTGGTTTGTGTGGTTGGCATTGTTTTCTTTAATGCTACTCTGAACTATCAAAGCTCATAGAGTCATTGAAAGTTCAGATAACTGCAGCAAGCATAGTCACATACTCACAACTCTACATAGCCTTCTGTAAAATCTACTGCTTTAAAAATAATATGATCAGAATTGTTAAAGCACTGCCATGGATTCTGTAGTAGTATGTGATATTGCCATATCTTGTTGGAATCACACCTTCTCGCCATCAGCAATATTATCAATTTGTATACAATTGAAAAAGTTATCAAATTTTGTGGAAAACATTTGACTATGTGTGTCCACCCTCTTGCCCCATTCAAATAAAGGCTAAAGAGACTGTATTTTATATCTTATCTTGTATATCCTATTGTTTGCATTGTTGCTTATAAAAGGCACTGCATAAGTCTTTGGTTTTGCAAAATAAATATTTGATCTGCATTTCATAATGTTGATTTCTATCTAAAAATGATCAGAATCCCCTGCCGTTTCGTGTTATATTAGGAATCAGACAATGGCTTCTGTTTTGCTCCTACTAGTATTCTGCATAATAAATGCAAAAAATTCTTCCATTTGCATGAAATATATTTTTATAAAACAATGAGTTATTCTTTAGGGAATTAGCCTTATTAGTTTAGAAAATTTATGAATTTTAAAAATTCAGTGTTAATTTTGAAAGTATGTTAAATTTGCAAGCAGTTTTATTTAATGAAAATTCTCCTTCTGAGTGTTTCTAAGCTAATGTTGTAACAAAAATTAGTAGCACATTTAATTAAATGATTTATTTTAGTGTCATTTAGAGGGTTGTAGGGGTTAACAGGAAATGAGTATATTATTATAAATGGAGCATATTGATTTTGCATGCCATTGAATTTAATTTCAATGTTTCACTAAAGTACTTTGGCATAATTTAAATTATAAAATACGATATATTATTGATGTTATTATCAACACAGTATAAACATGTTTTGAAGAGATTAAATGATATTTTTATTAAAAATAGTAAGATCAGTCTCTTTCACGATATTTGTGAAGTTACTGTTTAAATTTGAAGAACTGTCTATTGTTATATTGAAACTGTCGTTAGTATATTGAACATTAGTCTGTCATTCATTTTTCAGTAAAAAATTTGTATTAATTAATTTTTATATTTAATCTGATTCATTTTTGGCATTCAACAGTATATCTCAAAACCACCTTCTGAGTGTCATGTCAGCTGAAACTCAGCAGAATGATTCCCAGACTTACGGTATAAAAGAGGAAGAAAGTAGTCAGAAAACTGTTGTCTGTGTAAACCAAGAACCGGAAGTGCCCAAGTGTGAAGTGATTCACATAGCCATCGTCTGCGCAGGATATAACTCCAGTCGATCCGTCGTCACCCTCATCAAAAGCATTCTTTTTTACCGTAAAAATCCCTTGCATTTCCATTTTGTTGCAGACTCTGTTGCTCAGCTCATTTTGCAGACTCTTGTGTCATCTTGGAATGTTCCTGGGGGTAAGACACCTGTTTTATTTTGTCTGCCTGTATGAATGAGTAAATATTAGTGTATTCAAATATGACCTGAATCAATGGAAAGATGGAAATAAATGGAATGATTATATGCATTCAAACATGTCATTATTCAAAGCAATCCTTCTGTGCCACAATGCATCATTCTGTATGTTCTGAAAGCTGTTTCATCTCCTTTTCAAAGAAGGTGTTTGATTGGATGTGTATTTGCTTTTGATTGCTGTGAAGAGCTTTGAGTATAAGTCGAGACCATAACAGGGCTGTGATAAACTATCCCATTTACCTATATATGACAGGCATTATCCTTCATATTTGTATAATTTCTAATCAAAATTTTAAAAATCAATATCTTTTTCATTTTGATGATAATCTTTTTTTTTCTATCAGCTGAGGCACTTTCTGCTCATGCATCATTTTCTCAGATACCACATGTGACCAGTAAGATTGTGTTCCTACTATGATGGTTGAGATGTTCAAAGTCACATAATGCATAAGAATCACTAAGGGAAAATTCAGTATTCTGGGTCATATTTGAATGCTGTAGCAAAATTATTTTGCTTAGCTGATCATATTCTCTGTTTTATCACTAAGAATTCTGTTTTAATATTGTGTCTCATCCAGCCTACAACTGCATAGAGTGCATGGATGTTAAAAAAAGTTTTTTTTTTTTTTTTTTTTTTTAATGATTACATTATTTAAGAAAGCCATTTATCTTCAACATACTGTATAAGTGTTGCCAGTCCTGAAAGCATAAGATTCTTAATATATCATCCACATGGCCTGATAAGTTGCCATGGTTCACAAGTATCGCCATTTATTTTTATTAACAGTTTCACTATTATTTTAATTAATGAAGTTTTTTAATCTATATGTCACTCCCTTCTTATAGAGGGATCATTTGTATGCAGGCTAATGTAAATTTTGATAAGATCATAAAGTACTTTGAGAAACTGCAACAAAAATTTCATTCTAATTATAAAAGGTACAATTAACCTGTGGAATTGAAACCTTTAAGATAGATACTCAGCACAGTAAATTTTATAGCTTGTGTTTCACTGATATATTATATCTTCCTTTAAACACTACAAAAATTGACTTTCAAATTATCTTTCTAATTCTTCTGTATATCAGTCATAATATCATCAATGGCTACATGATTACACTGTTAAGCTACATGATTTTTGTTGTCAGCTTGATTTTTCTGTCGATATAGCTTTCAGTTTACCAGAAGTTGGGACAAATTGACATAACTAATTGCTACTAATATTTCTTGAGCATCAGAGGTCAAAGAGAAACTTTTTTTTTTTTTTTTTTTTCTTATTCATTCTACAGCATTAACATAATATTATTTAGCATTTAGAAAATTTCACTTTTACTTTTCTAGTATTTCTTTGAAGTAAATCAATAATAGCAGAAAGGAGAAATGGGATGGAGTAGATTCTATATAGAACTCTTGTAAAATTTGTATATATAGAAATAACTACAAAAGTTTTTTCTTTTGTAGTTTGTTCTTAAGCCACAAGAATCGGAAAAAACTTCTCTCTTCTACTGTAATTCCTACTTAAAAAAAAAAAAAAAAAGTTTCTGATTATATGCTATAAATGCAAATTTAAATATATCAAAATTCAGTATTATCTTAAGCAGATTTGAGAGAAGATTAATTCTCCAAACTTTAACAAATTTGCAACAAAAAACGAAATTGGAGAACAGAGCTTAAAGTTTATGTTTTAAAGATGAACTTAAAGCTCTGATTTTATTTATTTCAGAAAACTACATGCTGTTTATGATTAATACAGAAATAAACAGTAGTATTCTAACTGACCCATAAGTGCTTGGCCTTGCATTGCAAAACATGTGTTCATTGCAGTGTATCTCTAATCATCTCCACATAGGCATAGTATTATCAGATGTCACAACAAAGGTTATACTGTTTTTCAATTACCTCTTCATTTTGAAAGTTTTATTTCTATTTCTTATGTATTCTTCTTCTTAAGATCTTCTGAAAGCTTCTTCTTCAATTATTGCTCTTGAAAACAAATCATTGAGCTGCATCAATGCATTTTATATCAAATAAGTTTTGGAATGTGTATTGGAATATTGCTTCAAATGGAATTAAATTACAGCAACTAAAAATTGACTTGAAGTATACCAAATACTACTCGATCATAGAATTTTTGTTTGGTTTGAATATTATCTGGTAAATTGTCTATTCACGAAAAAAATTACATCTTGGTCAGTCTTAACTTGGAGAAATACTTTTTCTGTATCAATTATAAATGTAATATGATTGATATTTCAAGTATAAAGTATGGTTTTTAATTTCAAGTGTAAAGTTTGAGAGATTTCAGTTTTAGTCTGGGATGTAAAAAATTGTTTAGTGAAAGAGCATGAGGAGAATGTGAAGAATAAAAAATAATCATGAATTTTCGTGTATCTTTGTGATTTCAAATTCCAAGATGATGTATGGAAGCATAAAAACAATCTTTAATTCCATTGTACCCTTAGCCTTTCAAATTGCAGTATGATGCAGTAAATAATAACTAGGCTTTTGGCCTACATATTTGTGTTCATTTACTGCAATCCCAGCTACAAATCCCAGCTTAAAGAATTCTTCTATTACAGATTTATAAACTGCATACCTAGAAGAAATTTTATAAAATTTTGGTATTAATAAATCAGGTCTTTTCTAAACTTCTTATAATTATGTATTAATTATGATTATGTTTCCAAGGAAGTTGTACTTAATAATGACCTTCTTTAAAAGTTAAAGTTAATTCAAAACTTCTTACATAAGAGCTTGTTATTCAAAAGTGGAAAACTTAAGAAATCATTTTGGATTCCTAAAAGCCTTTTAACTGAGTGAACGTTATCATTAAAATATTTCGAAGAACACCCTTTAAAACTCAAGGAATGATGTTTCATTTCATGAACGGGGCAGTGTAAGTGGACTTTGAATTGACCATTCTATCAGGATATCTAATAATGTCACTGATTAAAATTAGCCTTTATGTTTTAGAAGAAACTATTTACTAAAACTAATCTGATCTGAATTTTGATGAAATATCAATCGTATGATTGTTACATTACCATCTTCATAATTAGATAATCTAATGTATTCAAAGATTAAATCTGTTTATATAGGTTTCTGACCAGGAATTTCTGTTAAAGCATCACAAACTACTGGTTATTCTAATGCATTAGTGGTCAAACATTTGTTTTAATTTTCAATGCTTTGCAACGGAAATTAAGCCCTACATTTTCTGTGTTACACAGAAGTATTACCAAAGATGTGCAGATTTATTTTCTGTTTACCTACCACAAGCAAATTCAGAGTTTTAATATTTTTTCTGGAATAATTGTATGCTGACTTCCCAAATGAACTAAACAGCAAAATTTTAACACCTGTACAAGACAAACAAAGGCTTGTTCTCCCCCCAATTTTTTTTTCTGTCATTACCGATGTTTTCTGAGTTACCAACAGATTTAACCTGTTCACATAAAGAATTATTTAAACTGGATAAACCATTTTAGCCCAGAAGGGCTGTTAATTTCATTTTGTGTTGTTTTACTATAAATGTTGGTTCACTTTTCAAGTTGTTGCTACCAAATATTAGAGCCCTGTATTATATTTAAAGAAATTAAGTGATGAAAAATCTGCATAAATCTATGTATGTTTCTCGCATTGTGATAAAACAACGGTACCTAGAGCTATAAAATTTTGAATATACACTTCCACCTAAATATTGGCATCTGGAAGCCCAAATTTGGAATTTATTTTATTACCTATTTCATATTTTGTAAAGCTGAATGAATTTTTTATTAACAAACTCAACGATTTCAAAGAGAGCAATGGCAACACTGTACGGGGGGGGGATATTATCTCCAACGTGCAAGACTGTGTATTGGAAATTCTAAAGGATATAATAATTAAAAATTTTTTTTTTTTGTTGTACTGCTATTGAACTGAATTTTATGGTTTAAGTGCGAAGAACATGATATGTAATAAATATAGCTAACGCACAAAACGTTAAAAAAATGCCCCTGAGGGCATAATGTAAAATCTGGTTCTTAAATCAAACAATGAATCGCTGACTTCAACAAATGCTTCTTTTATCAGGCAGCTTTTTTCTGCATTTTTTATGGCATACATTATATTCAGCATTTACTCTGCATAATTTTCTACTATGCAATTTTTTATAGCATGAGAAACATGCCAGTTCTTTTAAAAATGTCCTTCTTTTGTGTTGTGTTGAATTTATTACAATTATTTGACAAATCATCCATTACCTCATCACTTACACACGCACACACAAAAAAAGGGAGGGGAATAGTTGTATTTAAGGAAGCAATTGCTGAAGGATATTTAGATTTTTTTAGAACATTTTGTTATAATGTGAACATTTTTTAATTTTGTTTACTAATATAAATACATTTAGTGTCTGTGTCTTTTTAATAATTACTGTCTTAATTCATTGTTTTAGTTAAAAGTAGTGTATCTATACCTTTCTTCATGTTCTTTCTTTAAAAAGTGTAATAAATCTGTTCTTTGGTATCATGCAATCAGTTAAAATGTGAAGTGAAAGCAACTGGATTTACTTTAATTAGAATAGGAAAAAGTGATGTACCATAATTGTTTGGTTAATTTCTCAACATCATTTGAAGATATATTATTGAAAACAGTACAGTAAAAGCCTGATTATTCAATATTCAACTAACCAGACTATTTAGAAATTTAAAAACATCCTCACTTTCCCTAAAAAAAGGAAGCAAATAAGAGGCTTGTAAAGCATATGCAGTACCCCATCATCAAACAATGTGATTTCATATCAATAATGGATAAGCATCACTTTACTACACAATCATAACATATTCTTCACTGTAATTGTATTGGTGAATCAGATAATGCAGGATTGCAACAGAAACATTACTAAAAAAAACAAGTACTTACTTAATTGTTTACTGTTATTGAAAGCGGACAGATATTG